GTTGGAGAAAAATGGAAAATCAAAAAGACAGTAGCCATTAATCATTAACTGGTGCTTTTTTATCTATAAATTGGGAAAAACCCATCTGAGTCCACTTTTGGAGGCACCACCCACACGTCAAAGGAGCCTGGCCTGAGACTGACTGGACGAAAAGCTGCTTAGGGGCCTTTCCCAGCCAAATCCTAAGACCCCAGCTGCTGTGGGAGTCACCATGCAGCTGGTCCTGGCAGCACCTAGGGAACCTGAGGCAGGGGCAATTGTCCCAATTTTTTTTGTCCCAGCATCAGCTGTTCCCAGCCACAGACACAAGCACAACAGAGCAGGCCAGATCCCCAAACATGGCCGGATGGCAGCAGTGATCCACGGGACATCACGCCTCACGAGGCAACTGGGCAGAGTCCCTGTGTTCATGGGAGAGCAGTCGGGGCAGGCACAGATGCCCGGTAATGGGTTTCAGAAGGGGGAGAGTCAAGCAACCAGCTGTCCTTGGGTGGGGGCTGCCCCTGGCAGTGGCGGAGGACCTCGTGAAACTTGCAGTGGCCCCAACCCAAGGACACACTGTGTGCACCCTGGAGTCACCAACCACTAGAGCCCTGGGGATGCCTGAGAGCACCTGCCTGGATAAACCCAGACAGGTGACAAGCCAAGGTCAGGAAGTGCAAGCAAAAGATAAGAGCGGAGAAGCAGAGGAGACAAGTGGCCCAGGGCATTCATCCTTTCAACAAATGTCCAATGAACTTCAGCAATCCTTTGCTTTTAGTCTTTTTCCAGAAGGTAATATATACTGTGTAAAAATATTAAAAGAATATAAGAGTGTATCAAGTAAAATGTATCAAGATGTCCCCCTCATTTTATATCTCCAATTCCACTCTCCAGAGGTAATCATTGTTTTTGTTTGTTTTCAAACGGAGTTTCGCTCTGTTGCCCAGGCTGGAGTACAGTGGCTTGATAGCTCACTGAAACCTCTGCCTCCCAGGTTCAAGCAATTCTCCTGCCTCAGCCTCCTAACTAGCTGGGATTACAGGCATGCACCAACATGCCCAGGTAATTTTTGTATTTTTAGTAGAGATGGGGTGAAGGGGTGGCCTGCCCCTCCACACCTGTGGGTGTTTCTCGTAAGGTGGAACGAGAGACTTGAGAAAAGAAATAAGACACAGAGACAAAGTATAGAGAAAGAAAAGTGGGGGCCCAGGGGACCGGCACTCAGCTTACAGAGGACCCACGCCGGCACCGGTCTCTGAGTTCCCTTAGTATTTATTGATAATTATCTTTACCATCTTAAAGACAGGGGAGTGGCAGGACAATAGGATCAAAGAAAAAAGAGGAAATCGGCAGTAAGATATATGAACAAAAATCTCTGTGACATGAATAAGTTCAAAGGAAAATGCTGTGCCTTGAGATGCATATGCAAACATCTCCATAAACCTTTTAGCAGCATAGTTTCAGTCTATCACATGGGGAGAAACCTTAGACAATACCTAGCTTTCCTAGGCAGAGGTCCCTGCGACCTTTGGCTGTGTACGTGTCCCTGGGTAGTTAAAATTAAGAGAATGGTGATAACTTTTAACCAGCAAGCTACCTTGAGGCATTTGTTTAACAAAGACACATCCTGCACAGCCCAAAATCCATTAAACCTTGAGTCACCCCAACACATGTCTCTTGCAAGGACAAGGTTGGGGGTAGGGTCACAGATTAACAGCATCTCAAATACAGAACAAAATGGAATCTCTTATGTCTACTTCTTTCTATATAGACACAGTAACAGGCTGATCTCTCTTCCTTTTCCCCACAATGGGGTTTCACCATGTTGGCCAGGCTGGTCTCAAACGCCTGACCTCAGGTGATCTGCCCATCTCGGCCTCCCAATGTGCTAGGATTACAAGTGTGAGCCACCGTGCCCTGCCAATGATTGTCAAAAGCTTGGTGTGTGGTCTCCTCAACTTTATGTGCATATGTATCTATATATATAAAGAGAGAGACACTGTCTTCTGAGCAAAACTAAGATCTGAGTCTTCATACTGTTCTGCAGCTGTTTTTCACTTAACACCTTATCACATTTTATATGTCAGTATGTACATGTCATTCTTTTGAATAGCTAAATAGTATTCCATAGTTTGAGTATAATGAATGAAGCTCTCATGTTTCCTATTTTTCACTCTTACATTGTGCAGTGAACATCCCTGAACATAATTCTTGCACACTGGTCTGAGTATTTGTGCTGTAGCAGCTGGATCTCCTGCCGTTTACAGCACTAGATCATGAAGTTGGCTTATCAAAATGTTTAACAGGCCGGGTGCGGTGGTTCACGCCTATAATCCAAGGACTTTGGGAAGCTGAGGCTGGTGGATCACTTGAGGTCAGCAGTTCGAGACCAGCCTGGCCAACATGGTGAACCTTGTCTCTACTAAAAATACAAAAATTAGCCGGGCGTGGTGGTGCATGACTATAATCTCATCTACCCGGGAGGCTGATGCATGAGAATCACTTGAACCTGTGTGGCGGAGGTTACAGTGAGCCCAGATCGCCCCACTGCACTCCAGCCTGGGCAACACAGTGAGACTGTCTCAACAAAAACAAAAAAAAAGTTTAACAGACACTGATCAACAGCCTCTGGAAACAGTTATAGCACCAACCATACTGCATAACTGCCTTGCAAACAGAAGTTTTGATTTGAGAAACAAATGAAATCTAAAAATATGCCATCCACACATTTGGAATACAACTTTTAGGGGTTCAAAGGCCCCCTACCCTGAAGCCCACACAGGACTCCTGGTAAGAACCCCTTTACAGGAAGACCCTAACAGGTCAATGAAAAGCTGTGATTGTATCTTTTTTTTCAAAACGTCATCAGAACTCCTCAGGCAGGAGCTAGTGCAGTGTGGGCTGCCTGTGACTCACATGAGGAGCTTAACCCAGGAGGACAGAGACAGGAAACTGCCGTGCACAGCTCTGCGGTTAGGTGGGCCTGACGATTTTCTTGTGTGTCCTGCAGGTGATTGCAAATAACTAACCAAAAGAAGTCCCCGGGACAGTTTCAGACTTGGAAAGGTCACAGAAGGAAATTAATATTATAATAAAATGACAATTATGCAAATCACATCTTGATGAGAGATTTATTAGCAATCCATCCTAACATCCAGGGCCCTAAACACCATAAGCAGACTGGGCACAGTGGCACAACCCTGTAATCCCAGCACTTAGCACTTTGGGAGGCCAAGGCAGGCAGATCGCTCCAGTCCAGGAATTCAAGACCAGCCTGAGTAACATGGCATAACCCTGTCTCTACTAAAAATACAAAAAGTAAATGGCCGAGGTGGTACGCACCTATAGTCCCAGCTACTCAGGAGGCTGAGGTGGGAGGATCACTTGAGCCCAGGATGTAGAGATTGCAGTGAGCCAAGATCGCGTCATTGCACTCTAGCCTGGGCGACAGTGAGACCCTGTCTCAAAAAAAAAAAAAAAAAAGAATTTTGCATCTGCGTCTCCTCGCCCTACTGAGACCTCAAGGACCCAGCCCACTTTAGAACCTGACACATGACATAATTGTCAAACAACATATAAATGGAGCACTAAGCTCCAGGGAGGGAAGTGGGCTGTAGCGGCTTCCTGCATTCTGCCTCCTCTGCCTCTCTTTCCTCTCCTGCCAGCACAGAAGCCTGGATTTCGGTGCAGACGCTGCCCCACCAGATCCAGAGGTTCTGGGTGGAACCTCATGGCCCAGGACCACGGCGGTGCTCCAGGCCTGGCCAATCAACACATTGCGTCCCCTACCCCACCATAGCGATTGGCTCAGGGATGGGCATATGAACTAAGGCAGGTCCAATCAGAGAGGTTGCACGACTTGTTCCTCTTCCTGTTTGTAGCTAGGCACTCCAGGCCAGAAAGCCTGTGGGACTGACCCAAGGTCACACAGCAAATTCACAGCAGGTGTTTGTTCAGTGTTCTCATACAGGACAAACTTTATTTTTATATTAAAACAAACAAAGATACAGAACAGAATGATGAATTCACATGAACCTTTAAGATAAAATATGGGACTTAAGAAATAGTTGCTTGCTCTAGTGACTGATGCAGACCATAAATGAGTCCAAACTGTCAAAGGGAGTATGGGATGGAGTTGGGACTGGAACCGACGTCTTCTGACATCCAGTCCCGTGGGATTCTGCCCCCGCACCCCCACCCAATCTTCCTCACCTTTGCACTATCCTAGGGAGATTACAGAATTCTTTCCCATCCATTTTCTTACCCATGCAACTATCCTGCAATCCAGGTCTAGATGGTTATCTAGGAAACTAAGGCCCAGAAGACAAGTGGCTTGTCCAGACCACCACAGTCAAAATTGATGGATCAAAGACTCGAACTCAGTCAGGCACGATGGCTCACGCCTGTAATCCCAGCACTTTTGGAGGCCGAGGCCGACGAACACGAGACCAGGAATGTAAGACCAGCCTGGCCAATATGGTGAAACCCCGTCTCTAATAAAACACACAGATAAGCTGGGCATGGTGGCCGGCGCCTGTAGTCCTGGTTACTCGGGAGGCTGAGGCAGAAGAATCGCTTGAACCCGGGAGGCACAGGTTGCAGTGAGCCAAGATCGCACCACTACACTCCAGCCTTCGTGATAAAGCAAGACTCTGTCTCAAGAAAAAAAAAAAAAACACTTGAACACAAGTCTCTCTCTTTTTTTTTTCTTTTTTTTTTGAGATGGCGTTTCCCTCTGTCACCCAGGCTGGAGTACAGTGTCGCAATCTCGCTCACTACAAGCTCCTCCTCCTGGGTTCTCACCATTCTCCTGCCTCAGCTTCTCAAGTAGCTGGGACTACAGGCACCCGCCACCACGCCCAGCTAATTTTTTTTGTATTTTTAGTAGGACGGGCTTTCACTGTGTTAGCTAAGATGATCTCGATCTGCTGACCTCCTGATCCACCTGCATCGGCCTCCCTAAGTGTTGGGATCAGGAGTTCAAAACAAGCCTGGTCAACATTTCAAAACCCCATCTCTACTAAAAATACCAAAATTAGCCGTTCATGGTGGTGTGCAGCTGTAATCCCAGCTCCTCAGGAGGCTGATGCATGAGAATCTCTTGAATCGGGTAGTTGGAGGTTGCAGTGAGCACAGATCATGCCACTGGTTGACAGACAGAGACTCCATCTCACAAAAAAAAAAAAAAAAGAGTTGAAGTTCACTTTCCCTTCTGCTTTTTTGACTGGGCCAAAAACTAGAGTTTGTGGTCACAGAGCGAAGCTTTCTCATCAGCAGCGGGCCTGCCTGGCTTTGTGCTCTCCCAAAAGGCGAGGAGAGTGAAGGTCTAAGGAAGAACAAGAAAGTCCACCAGGAAACCGTGCTCACTCCACACTTCCCCCAACACAAGTTGAACGCCTAGAAGGTGAGGCAGGATGCTCACCTCCGGCTACCACACCCAGCTTATCTGTGTATTTTATTAGAGACGGGGTTTCACCGTATTGGCCAGGCTGGTCTTGAACTCCTGACCTCGTGTTCGCCCGCCTTGGCCTCACAAAGTGCTGGGCTTTGGAATCAGACCAATCTAGTTCCAGTTCCCATTCTGCCGCTTAGAAGCTGTGGGATCTTGGGCAAGTCACTTTACCTCTCTGAAGCTCAGCTTCCTCCTGTGAAATAAGAGAGGCTCTTGCAGGGTTTTTTGTGGCTTAGATTCAGTAAGGAATGTGAGTGCATCCAACATCTGTGTGGTGCTGGGTGAGTGTCACCCTGCCTTTGTTTGTTCCCCATTTGGAGAAGCTTCCACTTTGACCCCATTTGGAAAATGACATTATTGGCGAAGTGAACACTGCTGTTCTCTTGGAAGAGGACAATAAAATGCATCTTCCACCCAGGCTGTGGTGCATCGATTGCAGCTTACTGCAGCCATTACCACCCAGGCTCAAGTGACCCTCTGCCTCAGCCTAGCCTCCAAGAGTAGCTGGAGCCACATATGTGTGCCACCACACCTGGCTAACTTTTTAAAAAAATTTTTGTAGTGACAGGTGGTCTCACTATGTTGTCCAGTTTGGTCTTTTTTTTTTTTTTTTTCCTCGAGACGGAGTTTTGCTGTGTTACCCAGACTAGAGTGCAGTGGTGCGATCTCAGCTCACTGCAACCTCCAACCTCCAAGGTTCAAGAGATTCTCCTGCCTCAGCCTCCTGAGTAGCTAGTACTGCAGGCATGCAGCACCACACCGGACTAATTTTTGTATTTTTAGTACAGACGGGGTTTCACCATGTTGGCTAGGCTGGACTTGAACTCCTGGCTTCAGGTGGTCTGCCCGCATCAGCCTCCCAAAGTTCTGGGATTACAGGAGTGAACCACTGTGCCTGGCCATAAAGTGCATTTTGATCCACCAGATGAAGTCCGCCTCTGCCAGCGTTCTGCTTCCCCCATCATTAGGGCAGCCAGATCCTAACTGTGCATGTCGGCCTCGCCTTCTGCTACGTGTGCACCTTCCCCACATTACACAAATCCTTACCGTAATGTTGTGAAACACGCTGGGCAC